TTACCAGCCAAGCACTGCTCAGGAAGATCAATAATGCGAGCAAAAGCCTAGGGTTCTAACTCAACTTGTTCTCTCGAGTCACGGTTATTGTAATTGCTTGTGCAATCTAAATGTAAAGAAATAGTTTTAAAGTGAAAAAGTAATGAAATCGAAAGAAAAAATGCACAAAAAAACTTTGGACAATTCATTTTTTAATGTGTGTAATAGAGTAAATTTAACTAAGAAATACGTACAAAATTTTCTGAACGAAAAAAATAAACGAATGAGCACCGGCACAGAGAGACATTCACGACAAGTCATGAATGTACGAATAGTGCAAGGTACCAGTCACGAATTTGGTGTACGCTGATTGAACAAACATGCACATTGCGCAGGTCATCCCAAGACTTAACATGTTCCGTGAATTAGTGAAACAAAGCTTTAGAGCCGAGAAGCTGAGCCACAAAAACCTTTGAAATAATTATTCGCTTCTCACAAAAAATTATTGATGCAAAGTAACGATTATTGATTTCATGCTGTGTAAATAATACGTATACTTCGTGTCAATTTACACGGCCAGGTCTACAATCAAACATTCTGTAGAATTTCGACACTAATGCCCAGGCAACATAAGGCACAGTGATACTGAACAAATAAAAGGTGACGCGTGAAGCGAAGCTATCTTGCAATGCTCCTGGACTGATTGTTATCGACAAGTCGAGAGCATAACAGCGGGATGTCCCGGTGTCAGTGTCACGCATGGGGCCGTACAAGGTGCGGTCTGCAAGGACGAGTCTGTTATTTGGAAAAACCAAATAACGACATAATAATAATAATAAATGTCGTTATTACCAAAAAATTAGCTGGTTTACTTTTTTATCTATAGTTCCTAAGTTTTGCTCATATATTGAAATTTCTGTATTAAATTTTTTGCAGAGTCGTCGTGCAATGCTGTTATCGTTGTCTCCTCCTACTTCAATTTTATAAAATTTTACAATCAGGATGCTTCTATTTCATTTCAGCTGTGATTTAATATATGGTTTTTCCCTCTGGTCAATTATTCACCGCACAATATGAGTAAATTTCAAAACTATTTTCAGCTTCTTCACAAATCTTATAGAAATTGGTGAATTGATTTGGAACGAGAGTTACAGGTANAGGTACGGGTATCTATATTTCATTGGACTTATAAACGCGCTTTATGCCTTCTAATCGTTACGTAATGAGAAATCAGCTAATTTGTTCTAATTTAGGAGTCGAATTTTCAAGTTTTGTAGGACTTGTTACACTTCCCCCAGTCCTGCTTAGACAGCCAATACTTCACTTCCTCCAGTCCTCCTTAGACAGCCAATACTCCACTTCCCCAGTCCTGCTTAGACTGCCAATACTTCACGTCCCCCAGTGCTGCTTAGACTGTCAATACTCCACTTCCCCCAGTCCTGCTTAGCCAGCCAATACTCATGCAGTCTTGAGAGGCCAATCATATACCCGCAGGTCGCGTGACGAAAGTGTGAGCTCATTAAGACATTGGTTACTCGTGTCACTTCGCCTGTCACCGCTCACTAAAAAGCTACCAAATAATCCAGGGTAACGACATTGAGAGCTGCCCTCGAGTGTCGTGTCAGCAGGCAATAAGGTGACGAAGTGATCCAGGTCACCGTGTCAACATTGCCAATCTGAGGGGAGACTCGCTCCCCTTCCTTATCCTCATTTGGATGCTTTCGAGGGCTGGTCTTCTGTTTGGAAGAATTGTTGATGGCTTGATTGCAATTTATTATTAAGATGACAGACACCCTTTAGAAACATTTCCGTAATCCTATTTCAAAAATTTAAATGCTTGATACTCGACAAAATAAAAAAAATTGGTCACTTATGAATTATTCCTAGAAATTTTCGGTCACTTGGTTGAAAGCGATAATTGGCTGAAATTTTTCAGAATATATAATTTAATAAAGTAATTGTTTAGCAGCTAAATAAAGGGCTTTAAATGGCTTCTTCTTATTTATGTCTTATCAACCTTTAAGTTTTCGTTTCTGCTATGGCTTAATTAGGTTCCACAAATGGCTCATTTCAAAGCTCTACAATTTATACAGCTTTATAATGATTGAGTTACGATCACCGGTGGCTGACAAGCAATCGTGCTCTATACTAAATTAATATCAGTAATTGACACACAAAGGTCGCTGTACATTGATCGCTTCATTTGATTAGCTGGACAAGTTTTTAACATACATCATTCCGGGCCTTGACTAAATTATTACGTTTTCTGGACGGGTTTCACGGAGTTACGATATTATTATGAAAATTTTGATAAGAATGTGACAATAGAGTTTTGAAATATACAAACATTGACAAGGATATTCTAACGGCGGATAAATTCATATTTTAAAGGAATAATTATACATCTCTAACTCTTCAAGTTTATTTCAAAGCCATCAAACACACAGTGACTCATTGATCCAAATAAGTAAATCAATCACACACGCGTGTGTCATTCCTAACACATTATCTAGCATTATTCCCGGTATTATCTTGAGGCCAGGATTTAGGGCAGCGGGCGTTGCTACTGACCCAATACCAGTGAATTATAGACAGCGAGAGGGGAGCCATTGTCATATATGGTAGGAAGACTGTGTATTTTTCTCTTGTATCTGGCCAGGATTAGCAAAAAAAGGCGTTATGGGGCATTAGAGGGTGAGCTAGAGCGGGCAGGGCAGCGTGTAATGTGACTGTGAAACCATTCGCTACACGACACCCTCGACGATGTTGTCCAACGGTCACGGAGCCATCAGCCCTAAATCCCCTTACCCAGTCACTGCCATCACATTAGCATAGCCATGGTTGAATTATTTCAACCATTGACTGTTCTTTATTGTCAGGCAAGTTCAGGAACGAAATTTAATTGAATTTTATCGTGTGCTCCAATGAATTATAATTTTTATTCAATTGGAAAGTTTCTAGAATATTTCAAATCATATTTAATACTCCACGCAAATAATGAAATAAATTTATTAAAAATTTAATTTCTAAAGTTTTAATATTCTCTGGTAATGCAACCTAAAAATTTGCTAAACCTGATGAATAATTGTTGAATGATTGTTATCCTTGCATCAGAGAAACATCCGATGACACACAAATAAACTAATTTTGCACGCAAATGTTTGTCTGTACCGATGCTGCAAAATCATAACTTGTACAGCATAAGAAGCTGTCATCACCCGTGATCTATCGAGGCGCTTAAGCTATTACGGACCAATGAAAATAAAAGAATGGAGGACAAATCTGGACATTTTGGCACGTGAAACGAATTGGAGCTACATATATTTTTAAAGCAAAATGTCAATATTGGCCATAAAACACCATTAATCTAACTTAATATAAAAACTATAAGTACTAACTTATCGAAATAAAATTTAAGTCATTGATAAGACTTTTATTTCCTGCAATTATGAAATGTACGATCATCCGACATTAGATGTTAGTTTTAACAGCAGTGATGATAAATGTAAGGACCACAATTGGTTTGGTTTCTAATAAAACAATGATGTAGTCATTGTAATGCATTTGTTTTCGTAAACTAAATTGCTTCTAATGGTGATGACAAGATAATTGGTTTGTTCGTAAATACCAAATGTACTTACGAATGTTAAAAAACATTCGTCTTTCTAAACCAACTTTTAACGTAGGTGTTGCTGGCGCTAAGTATTTGTCACTTCAAAAAAATATATGCAATAGAACAAAAAAAAGCAACAAGTGCATTTGATTTTTCAAAGGAAAGTGACAGTGACGACAAAATCACCGTAAAATATATCTTCTATACCAAATTTTTTAAAGGGACGCTCAGTGCGTGTGAAATGTTTCATATATTCAGACGACGATACATGGCACAGGTGGCACTAGAATGGCTCTCATTGCAGTCCTTCTTTGAGCAAGAGAGGGAAATTTGCCGCCCATCATTCAACGTCTCGTCGATCAGAGGTTCTTTGATGAGAGCTGCGGCAGCGACATCAGTTGAAGCCTGATAATTCATATCAGTCAGCAATGCTAGCTGGAGCTTATGTCAATGACAGCCTGTATTGTGCAAACGCATGATTAATGCTCTATAGTTGTGCATGTTCCACTAGTATCAAGACGACCATGGAACAATCTATCCTAGCCATAGTACTGTGATAAAAAAAAGTACTGTGATACCAGAGTACTGTGATAAAAAAAAGCTGGGACTTTATATTTATTATGTAAATGTGTTCGATTGACTGTAGGTGTTGTTTGCAGAATAAGTTCTGATATATAGTGTTGCTGAAACCTCATGTGACGTACTGCAGATTGGTTATGATTGAAAATTAATTTTGTACGATTATAGTTAATTTATACATTGCATCACAATCACGTAACATTACAGAGAAAATTTATATGGAAAAAAATAATAAAAGTGCTATTATATAGAAAAGTCCGACATTCAAAAGTAGTAGTAGTTTGGGTAATATTTTTTAGAACACATTGACGTGAATGAAAAAAATATGGCATTCAAAAACAAAAGATTGACCAGACGTCACTCATAATATCAATTCCTGATAAATTGAAAACTGTTCATGGCGGTTTAGATCTTCACCTAGCCAAGAACAATCGCATTTTAGAAAAAAAAACATCTACACTAACAACGAGTGAATTCATTCAAATAGAACTTCAAAAGGAAAATGAATTCCGCTCCAATTGTACAATTTAAAAGAATTTGTAGAATTAATTAATATATAAGATTATTGTATTTAATTCTAATATATATATTATTTATACTAATTTTTGAATTACATGTAAATTTTACCGAATAAATAAAAGACTGAAATAAATTTTGCTATTTTGATCGACAAATAGAAGGAGTCAAGACTATTCAATTTGTAATTAAACGTAACAATAAATATTAACCTTTCAGTATATTCCCAGGCTAATAACACGCAAACTCACACAAAATTTCCGCAATAGTTTAAAGACTAAATTTAAAATCCTAAATTTGTACTTCTACTCACCGTTGTGCGGAGAGGCCAGTATTGGAGCAGCGATGAAGAAAATCACCAATAGGAAATGGTAGGCTGAATTAAACAATCTTGTAGAAGCAATGGAAGAATAAAACGACTTCCCAGTAAATTTCTCACTGTGCCACAGTTTCCTTCTTTTTATTATAAAAGTGTTAGATGAAAACTTTGACTTATCCATTGCTGTGTAAGTGTAGTGCATACGTATATATTTCACATTGCAAAGAGACTTACGCGTTGCTAATGTGACTAGGTTCACTGAACACGTTGTAAGTGCCAGAACAAAGAACACAAATGAGTTTCCCATGCATGACTGGCCTGGGAGTGGAGGTGTCTAGTCTCGACGCTATAATGAACACATTACGAGCGGCGATATTATCGGTGATTTGCTTAACACACACTCGTTTGTTTCTGTTTCTCCGAGTTCATGGTCAGTGTTGGTGAGTGTGTAGCGTCTTGCTCCGTGTATGAAGATAATGTAAGTATAAGTAACGAGAAGTAGAAGTATAAGTAGCGAGCGGGAGCATGAGAGTAGTGAAAAGATTTAATGAGAACAAGTGCAAGAATACCGAGAGAGATTGTAAGAGAGGAAAGGGATGATTTGGAAGACTATGAGGCTGTCGAGATGATAAGGAAGACACGATTACAAGGGAAAGTGTTTCAATCCAAAATTAGTTGATAGAAGCAAAATGAGTACAACTCAAACTCCAAGATGTTAAAAGATAGATTTAGAGACGAAGCGAGAAAGACGCGAAACTGCCATGAAGGACAATAAAGAATGTCTATGAGTTGCCGTGTCCCAGATATCACTCAGTTGCTGTGGATTCGTTGCGGGTCCACTCGAGCAGCGCTCGGGACACGCGATGTCTTCTTACACGTCCTATACACTCAGGGTATCTGCAAGGAAAAGATGACATGTTGAAAATTAGTCCAACTTCAATGAAATTCTTTTATAAATTTTCATCTAGAATATATTCTTTAGAAAATCAAACCTTATTAATAATCTGGCGAAGTATTGTAATTTTAGTGAGATTGTTAAATAAAAAAATCGGTCACTACCTGAACCATCCAAATTCATTGCGAAAATGAAAAGCCACTCTATCAAATAATGAGAGAAAATTTTTACCATATCACTTGCAGATAATTTGTTGAAGATGTCATGAATTTACCCAATAAAATATTAAGAAATAGAGAAAGTTCTTTAAAATTTACTGATAATTTTCACTTAATCCAAACAACTCGTCCACGAGGCAAATTTTGAGCAGAGAGGCGGCCTAATGTAAATTTTTCCACCAGAAGCATCGAATGAATGGATTACTCATCGTTACTCGACGAACATAAAATGTCGCAGGAGTTCTGATTATTATTCATCTTAATCAACATGAAGTGTCGCCAAGAATTCAGAGCATTACTCATCTTGATCAACATGAAGTGTCGCCAAGAATTCAGAGCATTACTCATCTTAACCAGCATGAAGTGTCGCCAAGGATTCAGAGCATTACTCATCTTGATCAACATGAAGTGTCGCCTAGAATTCAGAGCATTATTCATCTTGATCAACATGAAGTGTCGCCGAGAATTCAGAGCATTACTCATCTTAACCAACATGAAGTGTCGCCGGGAATGAGGTCGCATAGAGAAGCATATATGAATAACGTTCATCACCGAGAGCACAAACTCACTTGCATTCGTCATCCCGAGAAGCAGGTCGTCATTTGCTATCGATTGGATTATTCCCGGACTGTCACTCATAGGCTTGGCTCAAACCCAATAATCATTTCTTGGTAGGCCTATGGAGCTCAGCTGTAGCTACCTCGACCCAATTTCTATATATGTCTTACTTTAGGTAGGGCAGCTATATATGACTCGGCAATATTGTCATCAAGTCTAAAAACTTTTCCAGTCCAAGTGAAAAAACCGTTCTATTTTTACACCAATATTACCCGTTCCATGACAAGTTTAATTTCATATCGACTTTACATTGAAGAATCAACATAGAAATGCTTTCGCCGGACCTGCATGACAAGACGTACATTAAAGCGGAACATTCATCGAGCGGATGAAATTTTTTATACTGCATCCGAGGGTTTATCCGACACGGACATCGTCATCCGATGAGATTATCCTCATTTTGACGAGGAAGTTCAGCGGAACGTGTTGCATGTGGCGACTGAGATGACGCCTGCAGCATGCATGGCTCGCAGCCATTAGCATGGCCAGGGGCTCCACCAGCTCAGGGTTCGTGCTACGTGGAACCTTCAGCCAAATTATCCTTGGCTTTGCACTGGCCATTCATTAGCCGCTCATAAAACGCCTGTAATCTCAAACAGAAGACGTTTTCTTGCAGTATATTGCCAGGAAAAAGGACTTCTCATTAGCGTTATTTGTTCAGGAGCAGAAATGTTGACACTTGCAATTACCGACTGTGGTTTTATATAAAATGTGGTATTTGCTTCATTTGTACGTGCTCCTTTTGAATGCATAACTAATGAGGTATGAAGTAATTATAAATAGATATGTTGCCTCTATAGATAAGCATACACAAAATGATTGCTACTTTACACAGCATTGGCGGAATTCGAGGCATCGCCGTGACACACACGTCATGTGTATTAAATTTATCATTCAAATTCTACAATGATACTAAAATAATCGAAAATTGAAACAAATAATTCATTACGTTTCAAATTATATAATCTTCTCTGAAGTAATTCTGTTACGAATAGCAGGGAACAAAATTTTCAACTTGCCCACAATATAAAGAATAATAATTTTAGCTATCCAAGGCTGTTCTCAGTCCGTTAAATAAAGTCAATACTCGATCGAAGGAGCACGTAAACGAATTTCTGACAAATATAGTACAATATAGACGTAGCAGACACACGATGATTCAGTGCATGCCCGTGACAAGTTTTAGATAAGATAAAGAAAGCATTATTTTTGCATTGGTCTTCAGATTACGTATATTTAAATTATTGCACTTTTACAGAAAAATTTTCACTAAAAAGAGACAAATTGATTGCTCAATGTGTTTTAAAAAGAGTCTTAAATTCACTTGAATTGAATGCGGGTGCATTTTTACACTGTATAGAAGTTGGTGCATTAATAACAAATAACATTACCAATTTTTGTGAAGCTCATGAATAGAGACATTTAAATCATTTGAATATTGTATTTTGGAAAGCCTGGCCCATACTTTAAAAAAAGTTAAGAGATCGTAAGTTCATCAGCCAATCATTGACGGCCTTTCAAGCAAAGTCCACCAATCATAGACTAGAAAATAGAGCGTAAATACTTACGTTGACTTAGCAAATTTTGAAAGTTTGGCCACGCTTGAAAATCATCACAAAACAATCAATCAACCCCAAAAAATCCAATTAAAAAATAACTTAAGAAGTTTTTCGAATTGCGCTACTCGACTTCTTTGCTTGAGCCCCGCGGGCCTTGTCGAGGCGAGCTTAGCGGTCGGGTGGGTGGGGACCGCTTAGTGTGTTGGGACTGTTGGTGGGGACCGCTACGTGTGTTGGGACTGTTGGTGGGGACCGCTGCGTGTGTTGGGACTGTTGGTGGGGACCGCTGCATGTGTTGGGACTGTTGGTGGGGACCGCTGTTTGTGTTGGGACTGTTGGTGGGGACCGCTGCGTGTGTTGGGACTGTTGGTGGGGACCGCTTAGTGTGTTGGGACTGTTGGTGGGGACCGCTGCGTGTATTGGGACTGTTGGTGGGGACCGGCCGCTGCGTGTGCTGGGACTGTTGACCTCCGCGCCAAAGGATCGCTCCCTTGGGCGCCCTTTGGCCCATCCTAGTCTGGCAATAGCGGCCACTGCTGACAGCGAGAGTGAAACAGGACACCTCAAGTGGCCACTTCAAGAAACTCTTACGCAATTGCTACACGATAACCTTTGCTCGGCCGCGTTCTCTAAAAATATTGCTGTGATTTCACTAAGAGATTGTCGAGCCATGGAATCTGAAAGCGCGCCGGGCAACAGGTCCAGCAAGGTATCAGATTTCGGGCTTAACTGGCTGTAAAGGCTTCTAAGATATCATTAAGACACTGTGTGTAGGGCTTCAAGTTACTCGAACGACCACTTGAAAGGTTTGAGAAGAAAAGAAAAAGCCTAATTTATATATAAGTTTAATACTACTGGACGAGCAATACAAGGAATACCTAAGCTTGGTGTATCTGCTGTGGCAGGACAGGCAGAAGCTTATTGTAAATTAGTAATTGTAAATTAGTTTCAGGTTGTCAACTGTCAACTCATCCAAATATCTGTTTCTTCCAAGAAATGTTTTAGAAATTGATCAATTACGAATCAGATCTTTTGCTTTCACACACGAAATAAAAAAATTTTTAAAACAGCTAGCTTGACTTCCAACTATTCTTACTAAAAATTTTACGCAGTATAAAAACAATCCTCAATTAATTTTGAAAATACTCAATTTTGCATTGTGGAAGACAATATTTGGCACCGCTGTAATAATTTATTATTTACAGGTAATTTGCAAAGCGAATTTTTCACTTGGCTCTAAATACTATTTTGATAGCAATCAAGGCGTGGTATATTATGGTAGAGCTAAATCATGCGACTACCTAATATACCTAAAAACACTATAGCACGAGCACGAACAACTAGCTTTGACTTTGAGAAAGCTCGAATCTAAAAATATTCATGCAATGACGAAGACTTTAATATCTTGATGTATCTCATCTGTAGATGGCGTTTCTATACGGGAATTTAATGAGACTGACTGAGGAAGTTTCTTTCAATAAAGTTGCATGTAAGAGCGGTGTGCAATGTGAGTGAATCTACCACGGTTATTGATGACTGATAATCAGTTACAGATTTTTCCTAATTATTTCCTATTGCAACAACTAACTGATAATATTGTCAAGCTTAAATAATGCTACATTTTCGACTAATGATGATTTTTTTTAATGGAATTCGATGCCAGGTTTATGTTGATCAGCTCCAGCAGATTCCATGACATTTGTTTCTTATTCCGGGTATAAAAAACATGTGTCTTCTGTCAAGCCCAGCAAATAAATACTTGGTTATCGTTTCACATGTTCATAATTTTATTCTATCCAGTGAAAAGAATTATCGGCATTGTATACAACTAGTATTCGTTGGCGTCGTCGAGAAAGTTACATGTAACTTAGATGGGCCGTAACTTACTGTATATCAGCTCGATCGCTAACGGCGACCAGCGATGTATATGTGGACATGGCCACAGACCTACGAAATTAGACGAACCTAATGCATGGACTTACGTTGAAATAATAACCGTTGCTTAATGTGTAGAAAGTTGCGAGAAAATTGTATAATGATACAAGTGACTACTTCGCTCATTATTCTATTTCTCGGTTGGTACTGAAATGAAATTTAAAAATACACATCATTATTGAGGAAAGAAGCATTGGACGGCTCTCCACAGGAGCGTTCTTAATGAATTTATACAACAATAAATTCGAACGTTTCATTTCTCAAAATTAAATTTTAGTTACATGACGTAAGAAAAGAAATGATTTAATTTGGCCCTTTAATTAAATTTGTATGAGATTTATCATTTTTACTTCACCCGCTGATCTATTATAGATTAAATTCCATGAATAAATTCCCGATGCCACAAATTATATTTTTCGGCGTTGAAAGAAAATGTCGCATACTAAGCCATGCAAATCTTCGAGCGATTTAACGCGAGTCCAAACTTCCATCGAAACATAATGACGAGAATAAAATGGAGTTACGTTTGTATTATGTCGTGCCTAAGTGTCTCTGCTGGCGAACGCATGCAAATCTTAAGGTAAACAATTGATTTATTGTGTTCAATAGGCCTTCAATTTCCATGGATTTAGCATTGAAAAAAGAGATCGAACAATTAATGCTTACCTCATCGACTTCGTGCAATCATTCCACAATCCACATTACAAGCTGGAATTTATGAAGCCCATGTATCGTTCCCGTTCGTTTTGCCGTATAATTTCTTCAAAACACTGAAAAGTTTTAAGTTTCCTTAAAGCTAATCGTTCACAAATCACATGTTTAATTGCAACAACTTGGAGAAATTTCAAAATTCTTGTGTCGATGCTAACATAGCTCAAAATTTGTATAAAAATCCGGCAATCTTCATAAACTCCCGAGTTCTTGGCGCACCAAACTGGAGGTCCAGGGAGCAAACGTTGCACACCCTCACTCTACTACTTGCCGCAGCACACTGACCTCATCTCTGTGTAGTTAGAGGGAGAGAGGGAGGGAGTCGGGGTCGCAGCCTCAGCTGGTTGTCGGAGCCTCTATTATTACAGACTTTTTTCCCTCAATAATTGTCGTAGAGAGCGCTACTGGTGTGTAAAAAATTGAAGGTATTGCTCCTGCATCTTGTCTTCTTTCGAGAAGTGAAAGGGGATGTGGAGTACCCTTCACAGGCGCCTTGTTCGGTAAGGTTCTCATTCGGCCGAAATTAAATATTCAGTTGCGGTCGTTGCACGCGAAAATAATGGTCCGGTAAAAGAAGCTTCAGTGTAGCGACAGTGGTACACGTAACCTTATCAATATCTGAAAATAAAAAAGAACTCTGCAATTAATTTTTTATACCAGCATAAAGGTTTAAAAAACGAAACAAAAATATTAATTAGGTGAAATCACTTACATGTAAACTGAACTGATCATAGAAAACTATGTCTGGATAAACTATTAAACACAACTACTGAATAATTTTTTGTGAAAAAATATGAGTAAAGTAAAATGTAAAATTCTATCCATCACAAATGCAAATACAATAGCAAGTTACACAATCCAATATTCTTTTTCATGGTATCCGCAATAACCTGCATTAACAAATCCCAGGATTTATGTGCGTGCATTTGCGTCGATGAAATAATTGACAAGCATCCAGTATTTTCTGAAGATTTTTATTAGGGCAAAAATTCCGATGAGGTAAATTCGTACACAAATTTTGCTATAACTGGAAATGCAACGTAGATCATTAGCACCAATCAGAATTTAGATAACCTGTGCAAGCACTCCATGCATTTAGAAAATCCGTGCATGCACTCCATACATTTAGAAAATCCGTGCATGCACTCCATGCATTTAGAAAATCCGTGCATGCACTCCTTGCATTTGGAAAATCCGTGCATGCACTCCTTGCATTTAAAAGACTCGTGAAAACAGTCCATGCATTTGGTACTATTTCAATCATTATATAAATTGTTGAGTATTCGAAATTTCAAATTTTCATTTTAGTTTAAAATTTTCTGAAAGCTATTGTACGGAAGGATTAGGTGATAGGATTATTGTTGAGTAGAAAGCCGGAGCGGAGGTATGTACGAAGCAGGGTTGTCAGATAGTCTGAAAAACGGCCAGTTCCACGGACAAAAAAGGCGTAAAAAGCCTTTAACTCAAAATATACTAGTATATTTGTAGGTTTCCGTGTAAAAATTCTATTTTCCTTTTTCTTACACTTCTTAAAATTTAATAACGACAGTCAACGCAATTGAAAAAAAATAAATCGCGGAATTTGCCCGTAAAAAAACGACAATCTGGCAACCTTGGACTACGAAGTAAGGATTCGATGTGAATATGTGAATATGCAAATAGTAATTGTGAATATATCTGTGAACGTTTGGATTTCATGTATCTGAATGTTTATTTAATTTGTTTATTATTAGTTATTTATGTATTTTTATTCAGTACTTATATAGCAAAGCCTCAAATGACAATACTTGAATCCAGGGGCACCAAGATGAAATGTACGCAGTAAAGTCTTGATGTTTATTAGTGTTATTTCATTATTTCAGTACGTTTAGCATTTAAAATTTTTTATTGAAGAAAGTTTTGAAATAAAGTATTTCAATTATTATTAATCAGTGAATTCAAACTTGTACGATAATGCAGTGACGAGTGAAGGCGGTTCTTTGAGTTAGTTGCATCCTCCTCAGGATTCAAGGAAATCTTCAAAAATTCAAAAAACAGCCTCAGGACGCGAAGCGATGGCTTTCTTACAATAAGCCACATTTCTCTTAAGGTATAGTTACTGGGGTCTATTATAGTGGTAGCCCAAAGGGAAGCTATGCAGGAACATTTATTTTATGGTCTTATTCTTGGGGTCTGATGAATAGATATACATACCAAGTATCAAGTACGCTGGGTTATTTTTGGGGTCTGATGAAGAGGCAGACCATGTAAGGGTCAGGTATGCTGGAACGCCTGTCATTCAATATCCATGAAAGCATACATACTAAAATTCAGTGATAATGTTAGAATTAATTCGCAACATCAATTGGAATTTCTAGCTATATGCGTCTCAGTAATTCATTTATCTTACGTTCCCCGAAGGAAACGCGTGCTCACAATTTTCGTCACAATTCTCAGAAGGCTAAATTTCATCGTCACAATTTCAAAGTCATGACTTGCATCACGAACCATTTGTATTGCACCACAAGCGTGGAAAAACCCCTCAAAACAAATCCTATCTGTGAGCAGGTTTAACAACAAAAGCGTCAGCTACATCTCTGGGCAGCTCAGTAGAATGTTATTCTGTAGCGAGGGCGTAGAAGGTAATGAAAGAAACCCTACAGCACTATTGTGTTGAGCTCAGTAATTACGTTGCCGTGGCAACCTTTACCATTCATCTCGACAGCTACGGTGCAAATTGAAGGCATTAGTACAAAACACACTAGAATTCTCATGTGTGCAGTGGCCGGGGTGTGGACTGGGTGGACTCTAGACCACCTCTATGCAGCGGCCTGTGTGGACTGAGTGAACTCTAGACCACCTCTATGCAGCGGCGATATGGACTGTGTGGACTGTTTGGACTCTATACAACTTCAATGCAGCGGCCTGTGTGGACTGTGTGGACTCTAGACCACCTCTATGCAGCGGCCTGTATGGACTGTGTGGACTGTTTGGACTCTATACAACTTCAATGCAGCGGCCTGTGTGGACTGTGTGGACTCTAGACCACCTCTATGCAGCAGCTGTGTGGACCGAGTGGACTCTAGACCACTTCAATGCAGCGGCCTGTGTACGTGGACTGTGTGGATTCAAGACCACCTCTATGCAGCGGCTGTGTGGACTGAGTGGACTCTAGACCACTTCAATGCAGCGGCTTGTTTGGACTGTGTGGACACTATTTCAGTCGCATCACATTCCATTATTCAAATATAATTATCTTTAATTTAATAACTATATACATAGTAAATTTCAAAAGACCGCGTCAAGTGATAGAAGTTATGTAGTAACGACATTGTCATCTTATATAATCATCAACGTGTAAAAGAGATTGGAGGTGTAAAGTACTCGTATAACTAGTCTGCTTAAATGCCAAGTTTACCAAGATTTTAAAAGCAAATAAAACCTGAAGTAAATCCTGAAGATTGTTTCTAAAAACGGGACATGATGAGTGCATACACGCCACTCATGTCCACGCCACAATATTACGTACAACATTACGTATTTGATTCTATAAACGGGACCGGATGAGTGGCAGAACGCTAAGCAGACAATATTACGTACAACAATACGTATTTGATTCTAAAAACGGGACCATTTGAGTGGTGACACGCTATGCAGACAATATTACGTACAATAATACGTATTTGCTTCTAAAAACTGGACTATTTGAGTGGTGACACGCTATGCAGACAATATTACGTACAATAATACGTATTTGATTCTAAAAACGGGATCGTATGAGTGGCGACATGCTAAGCAGACAATATTACGTACAATAATACGTATTTGCTTCTAAAAATGGGACCGGATGAGTGGTGACACGCTAAGCAGACAATATTACGTACAATAATACCTATTTGATTCAAAAAAGGGGCCGGATGAGTGGCAGAACGCTAAGCAGACCCTGCGTATGCGCGGCACAGCATTCATAAGCCGCCAGGTCGACGCTCCGACGACTTATGCGAGTAGCGCATCACTTTTATGGCTTCATCGCACCCCTCGACCGCGGCGACGAGCGTGGATGAAACGGGCAGAATAGAGGATCAAATCGTGGATGAAGCGAGTGGAAAGCATTCAAGCAAAATTAAATAATCATAAATGTAATTAATAGGAGTATATAAAATCAAACGTTGAAGAAATATGAAGAAATATGTTGGATTAGACCATTAAACGGTTAAGAAGTGAAGAAACTCCAGATTTCAAGCGGGTCTTTGCACTTCTATAAAGAACGAATGTGTCGTCAATGCTATACGAAAGAGTGTGCAAGTAGGAACGTCCTAGTCAATAGACTAGCTTGAAAAGAAAATGATCGTAACCGATAACAACACTTAAAAAATTAGAGTTGAAATTAAATTGATGAAGTTGAAAGAAAAGGACAGACCGGGCAGATGAACACATCTCCTACAATCTCGCCACCGGAAAATTTTACGTCAGTGACTTTAAACGTTGCCTGTCTGATGAAACTGCATCAAATGTTTATCCATTAAACCCAAATTTATACTTGGAGAGATGGTAGAATAACTAATTCAGAGACTAGGAAGCTTATTGGAGATTTTTTCGCAAACTTAGTTGCCAAACCATTTCTTTGCGCGTAAATTATGTCGGCCATGACTGTCCGGAACGACACAACGAATTTTTCTTATCATTTAACTTTCAACTCTTGTTTACACACTTCTTTAACAGGCAACAAAGCGTTATTTTTGTTCCAAATGTTGGTATGAATTAATTTAGTTCTAACTATTTACAAGAACTACTACGGAAACTGCTACGCGATGACAGACTGTCACTTAGTAACGCAAATTTTTGCCAGCTCGGTCGGATACTGACAAGCAACTGACGAGCTATAATTAATTGGAGTTAAATAAAACTCTCATATTAATTATTAGCGAACCATCGCGTTCACAATCTGAACAGGTGATAACGAAGCGATAACAGCTGGGCTCAATGTTCTTTTTATTTAAACTCATTTACTTTGGGCATCATATGTTTCACTTGACTGATGCAAACTAATTAATAGAAATTCTGACTTTTAATTTGGTTTGAAACCATTAGTTAAAAATTTGCCACACAAAAATAACAAAATAATCCCTACGTTCAACATTTGTATCGACATCTTTATCGCAGTCAGTGCGCTACTCTTAAAATACATAAGTGTTTATTGAAAATAATCAAACATAATATGATTACAGGCCTGCCATATTTATTGACATTCGGGTACATTTTCAGCATTGCCTTAGAGCGCGTGAACGA